AATGACCAGAACATCGCTCTTTCGAATGGTGAAAACCGGAGGTCTCTATCTCGTTTCTATGAAAAGTTATTTGAAAAATGGTAATCTGTCTTTTATTCTGTATCGGATAATAGCAGATAGGATTATTTCGAAAGATTTTTCAATTTACTTTGGTTATCAATTGATTTAAAAGTAATTAGTTTTCTATTTATACTGATGAGTTTAAGCAGGGAATAAGAAGTAAAAAGAAATTCTTTTTCACTTGAATAATGTTATTTGTTATCTAGATTTTTAACTTGTGAACATTTACCGGACGAATCAATTTTAAGTAAAGTATTAACAAATCATTGAGTTAAAACTTTTCATTTCAATGTTGAAGTAAATCTAGGAAATCGAAATATAATATCAATTTGAAAATAATCACCTTGTTCTCTATTGACAAGAAAACAATTTCAATTTATCAATCGTGTTTTTAATCAATACTATTCAATTCTAGGTTATCAATCATGATCATTTTTCAATATCGACATGACAAATCTTCTTAGGCTTCCATAGATTAATTTTCCAAATTAATTTATTTTTTATAATCTCGATAGGTCAAAAAACATTCGACAAAAAATGAGTTCTTTTTGAAAAGCAGACTTATAGGAAACTAGTCTATAGAGACCTAAATGGACTTTTCATCTCTCTATATTCTGCATCAGAATGGTTGATAACCTAGAATTGAGTAGTATTCGTTTAAAAAAAACGATTGATCAACTGAAATGGTTTCCTTGCAAGTTTTATTCCAAGATAAACGATACAATCTTCATTTCGAACATTGGAATTTGTTTCTACAGTAGCATGACGAATTAGTCGCATCAGGTTTCTATTGTCTTTTCGTCGTCTTTGTATAATTGTTAATTAGTATATATATATAGAATCTCTGACGATCAACTATGCTTTAGAAGTATATCTTCGAAGGATATAATATCCATCGGCCGTATTTTCTATTACTTTAAATATACATAATAAACATATTGTCAACAAGTAAAAACTATTTTAATTATGAAAAGAAAAATCTTGTTTATCAAATTCCGTATTACAAAATTAAACATTTAAAACAAGGAAGATAATAATGGAGAATTTCTTCTATTAAGATTATCTTATTCATCAGCGTTGACATTAAAATATTCTTGATAAATTCAATAATTTAGTTTCTTTCAAGATTTTATTTACAAACAAACAAAAGATGAATTTTTTCTGATCTGGTTCGATTTAAAAAAGAAAAACGGTATTTATGCTTTAGAATATGTTAATATAATTATGTACAAAACGAATGATATTGCAAATATCAAAAAAATTTCTTTTTCGATATTTGTCATTAGCCGATTTATCCATTGTGATCAGTGATTTAGTTCTAAACAAGTTATTCAAGATTATGATATCAGTGCTCATGGAAAGAATCGTTGTTTTTTTTTTCAAATATAGTTGAAAATCATGGAGAAATATCATCGGCTCTTTTCTTAAGATCGAATATAAGAAGTTGACTTCATATTCTCTCTATATTTTATTTATCAAGATTCAACTCTTATTCAAATTCATCTTTCTTTTTTTTTTAAAAGAAATTCAACGTTAACCTTTAGACAATATCAATCGGTATTGAAGCAAAATAAAAATACTCCTTAGCTTGTTTATTTAAATTATATTTGTTTTTCCAATAGCATTTTAGGTGTGAACATCTCTTTGATCACATCGAATCACATCCGCACATCCACATCACTCACCCTTTGCCACTGCCGCGATGATTTTCGAGAAATTCTATGAAAATGTCTTCTGCCACTGTGCTAAATTAGCACAGTTGAATTGAGTCCATTAGACTCAATCTCGATTCTGGCTGTTGGACTTGTAGACACTCAAATTGGGTGCAATTTCATTCAATTTTACAATCTCAATAAAAACGAAGTTGTCGCTGCTACGACGATATTCTTGAAATATCTCTCGCACCGCAGTGATTTTTAGGAAAAGTGCCGCTGACGCTATCGTGGCCGTAGCACCGCCATAGGCATCTCTGGGATAGACCTACACTCATGTACTCGTCTGCCTACTACGCACATGCATACAATAAAAGTCAAATAAGAGATAATAACTCCAATATTGTTGATTGGTGAACGAGATAATATCTACGATTATGATACAAATTTGTTCGAATGAAGTTGACAATAATGTGAAGTAAGCGAATAATTTGCATTGTATGAAAATATGAGTTGAGAAGAGAGGAAAAAGAGTATTATTGAAAAGTTTTCATAGAGAAATTCAAATCAAGATAACAATAGTGATGTCAGTACAGACTATTATAATTGTAGGACTATTTTACATTGTAAAATGCTATGATTAGAATAAGAAATATAATTCTGTAATGAGTGACAGTTTGTCTTTTTGAATAGTATTTTTTTTAAATATAGAAAATTTTAAAAAGAGACTTAGTATATTTCCTTAATATTTAAAATAAATCGTAATATCTGAAGTTGATCAAATATTTCTCGAATCAATTAGTATTTTTACTGTTACCTATAACAAACTCCTACCAGAGATCAATAATAAACTTATTGTTCGCTAATATAGCTGGTTTTGTATATTCTTTCTTTTTTCTGTATGAAAATAATAGAAAAAAGAAGCAAAAAATGTTTTTATGACAATAAAATTATGTTTCTTATTCGATCTAAATTGAATTCAAGTCGGACTTTATTTTATTTCATTGAAGTGCCCGATACATGAGAACGTTCAATTTTCGTTCAATCACAAGGATTTATCTTTCGCTTCAATAAATAATTGTAGCCATGTTGTTGTCGAATTTTCATCATCATTCTGTTGAAAGTAAGTTGGACCGTCTGCATAAATCCAATCATTTGAACAATTTACAGGTGGTTTTGATGGTTTTTCTTTTTTTCTACCTGACCAACGCCACCAACAATTTATTACTCCGCATTTTTCAGGTTGTACATATCGAGAACATAATGGACATTTACAATTTGTTTCATCAAGATCTGCTACAACATTGAGAGAGCGGCATCCAAATGATATTCGTATCTGTCGATTATAGATGGAACATGTCTCATTACGACAAATAGCTTCAATGAAAATTCCAGGTTTCTCAGGCAATGGAAGCATTATATGTGGAGGTTCTTGTTCGACTATTTGAATAAAACGAAGACCATTTCCAAGATCGTTATTAGTTTGAACTTGAAAGTAAAAACCAGGCATTAATAAAATTTCTTTTTCACCATGATAAAATGAATGTTGTTTTATAGAACGTCCACTACTACATTTTATTAAAAATATTGTTCTCTCTCCTTCTTTTCCACAAAATTGTGTCGTTTCCAATAAATCCGTTGAATCTGTACATGATGATAAACCCCACCAGAACTGATGTTGACCTACGATGTATTGTGATGATATATCACGTTTAACACCACGGAAAATTGTTTCTTTTATAGGTGGAAGACGATAAAGAGCAGTAAGAAGAAGTTTTAAATAACTATGCCAAGGTTGAAGTTTTTCTCTTTTTTCCATTCGTAATGCTTTATTTAATAAATAATAAAGACTCTTTTGATTGATATCCCAATTGAATGTGTATAACATAATTGATGCAGACTCATCAACAGTTAAATTATTCGATGGATTTTTACATCGTTCTTTCACAATCCAAACATTACGCTCAAGACTTCCATCTTCAAAGAATTGAATAAGAGGTTTAACTGCAATATCCAACGGCAAAAGAGGGCAGTTTTGGTAGCCATCAATAGCCGACAGAACCGTTTGAGGTTCTTTTATAACGTCAAACATCCGTGGAATCATTTTAAACTCGATTAACACAACAGAGTATAAATTAAAACCTTCTTTTTTTATAATTTACTCACGTCACTATAGTATTAATAAGAAGTAAAAAAAAAAGAAAAGAATGTAAAAGTGTGAAACTTATAATGTGACCAAAAGTTTTTTCTATGTGTGTCTTGAGAATGTTTTTATTTTATTACATGAAAGAACGCAAGAGAAAAATATCATGTTTGCACTATTGTCTATCATAAAAAAGAAACAGAATCAACATCTTATTTTTTCTCGATAAAAATCTGAGATTGAGACATGTTTATGCAAAAAAAAAACGAAGAAGAAAAGTTGGCAATCTGTGTGTTGACTATTATTTTCTTAATATCTATTCTTCTCACAAGTATGAACATTTAACATAGACATAATTATCAATTATATTTATATTGAATAGAAATTGTAAAAATAATTTAATATCTCGCCATTATAAGTATTTTCGCTTGTTAACTGAGAAAACCGATATGGGACATTACAAAATATACCTTTGTAAAACTGATTTTCTCCTCTAAAACATACAATCTTTAATTAATAGAAGGTCATTTTT